CATTGTGGTTGGTCTTTTTTTACCTTAGAATGAACCGTTTTTATCTAGAGGGGGAGTGGCATTTTGCAGTGCCATGTTTCTACAGTAGCCCAGGACGTACGAACCAAACTCTTGCTCTAGATAGGACCATTCACATTTTACGCAGGTTTTGTGTCCACCATAGTTTCTCCTACATGCTTGAAATGGGAGAGTGAGGCGAAGGCATTGTAATCTGCAACTACACTGCAAGAAGCCATAAAATCATACACACAGGTCCATTAAGACTTGAATCAGACTTTTTGAAATATGTTGTAATATACAAATTTCATTCAGTTGTATTATATCTGTAAAACAGCTTTTAAAATCAGTAGTAACAACAAAACAGAGCAAAAGAACAAGTCAGTAAATCACAGTAGTTTATTGCAATAGAAAAACAGCCAACTACACAGCTAATGCAAATAGTGCTATAGGCCTATCAAGTGAAAGTTAGCCTTAGCTAAAATAAAACTGAATTCTGTAAAAAAAAAAATTCATATAACTAAACAAAGCAGTAAATCCAATCATCTTCCATCTCAGCGTTTGAGTCACGTGATTTGGTGTGGCTAAAGAGAAATAAAATAAGTTTAAAGTTAAATAAGTTTATTTTCTTAAACAAATTGGACAAGAAAGCTGAAAGAACATCGTCCACAGCACCTCACATTCCCTGAAGATTATCCATGAAACAGATTACAGGATCTTTACTCATGCATCTGCAGTTTTAGGTATTTATGTAGGTTTCTATGGTAATTATTTTAGGGATAAAATAATGAACTTTAAAAGGGATAAAATGAAGGCATTATAACTTTTCTATCTGTTACACCATTTACAAGCCAGCCTGAAAACCTTAAACCCTTTTCTTTCAACTTCTGTGTAGTTACTCTTGCCTGCCTTTTATAGGCATTTTTGACATTTACATCAGTGAAGCCTCTAAAGCTAAACTAAAATGAACAGAAAGAGAAAGTATCTTTTGCCCTAAAATTACCCCTGACTTGATGAACTGATGTTGACAAAATGATAACAGATGGAAAAAGGGATGTTGAACAACTCTAGAAACAAAGGTACTTTTGTACATGGTCAGTGGTGACACGCTGAATACAGTACTATTGATGTAAAGGTTGTGGCTCTGAGGTTGGCGCAGAGGAAGAAAGAAAACCTCCATCCAGTCTTACTCAGATTAGAAAATTGGGGAAAGAGGGGAAGTAATGTGCAGGTTTACTGGCAGGGCTGCGTTGATTAGAAAGGGTGTAGTGTTCATGGTGAAGGGGAGCAGCAGTATTCAGTAACAGCACCTCTTCCTTTAGCCAAAGCCAACATGTGGTGCCGAACGACACAGAGCAGCAGAAGCAGCAGCAGCACCCCCAGTCTCTGCTTCCCTTTCAGTTCATTATTGCATTTCATGGTTCCCCAGTAGAAGGCTAAGAACCTGGTATAACAGTGATGTAAAACTGAGAACATGTTTTGAGCATGTAGGAGGGTAATGCACAACCAACCAACACACCACAGATGTTCGACTTTCTGAAGTAGCAGACTTAAACTTAAATTTCCACTGAATCACATATGGGTCAACGGCAACACAACTGGTTCATTAAACTAGAGTGACCTTATTTACATACCTGACATGACCACATACTGTGTTTGACTGCTATTACTGGAATTAGACAGCTGTGGTTGACAAGAATGCTAATAAATTAAACAATATTTTATTTATAACCCATTTTGTCCACCAAAAAAAGTCATAACAAATAAATATCTGAAAATAACCCCCAGAAACCAAGCATGGTACTCGTGGTGTATTGTAAGGTAACTGTATCCATAAATACTGTCATCAAAACATTTCTTGGTTAATGGTGGAATTCTTTATTTTAGCAAAAAAGGATTAGCAAATGTGCCATATAAGCTGTAATATATCTGTGGTATCGACCTATCAACGTCTTTTCAGACTTCAGACGATGACAAGTATTTAGGCACATGCTTATGTTAATATTTGTGTGTGTGTGTGTGAGTCAGTG